AACAAGGTCCCACAATTTGATACCTTCTCCTGATATCGATCATCGGTTCGATTAACTTATTTATACGTTTAAAAAAAAAGTTTTCAATTTTCAATTTTCTGAATTGGCCAAGCCGCTCATTCACAAGTTAATTACAGACAGACTGATAACCAAGGTGGTGTCCCCTGGCCTCTCCTCTAGTCTTTGAGGTCTCTTGTTGTTGAATTTGTTTAAATATTACTTCTGAAGCTGCTCAGAAATAATGACGACGATTATAATGATAATCATCCTTCCTGCTAAAGTGCTTTCTAACTTTTTTCTAGTTCCTCATATGCCAACACAAACATCACATGATAAAGGAAGTCCTGTGTGGTTATTTCCAGTAGTCATAGGTGTGTCAGTTTTTTTAATAGCTGCAGTGGTTGTCTTTCGCTCGCGTGGGCACCGCTGCAAAAGTAACCTCGCTTATGAGCAGCATATTGATGAAAAAGCATCAGGTGAGCACTTCACAACTGCCGAGATCTAGCCTAGAGCCGATGAGGAGGCTGCGAGTTAGTGACTGAACAGTATACCTTGATCATACTCTATCATGGAATGCATCATTAGCTGGTATACCGAAATAGTATCAAAAGCAGCTGTGCAATTTCTCCAATTTTTCCTCTTTCTTAACCTCCTGCCGGTTTCTGCTCCTAAGCCTCTAAATTGTCTCCACTGATCCGATAATTCTCGTAAGTTATAAATAAAACTTGCGTAATTGTAGTACACTATAAGCGTGCTTTAAAATGATTGCTAAGGAAAAATAGAAAACTTTAAAACAGATCAATTCATGTTATTGACGGGACAAAATTTTCTCAGGGGGAAAATGAGAAATGAGTTGCTTTGACAAAAATCGTCTACTAGTCTTTGAATAACATTCTGACGCACCTATTTGATGAGTGCATCGGTACTCAAAATCCTTTGTTTTACAACGTTAGTTCGGAACACAACCCAATCACTGAAAAAATTCCAAGAACTTGCAACTGAATTGTTTGCTACCTTAATTGGCATGGAAAGGCTTGATAGGAGAGAACTTTTAAAAATTAAAACCTGTAATCTGGCCTAATTTTGGTAAATAAAGCAAGAATACAATTTTCTGCGCTACATGTATATATATATATATATATATATTTTTTTTTTTCCAAAAGCAACACTTTTAAACAACACGTTTCCTTGTATCCAAGGGTTGTAGAACAAGATATCATAAAATGCAAAAGATTTGCCTTTTTAGCAAGGGCGATTGTACCAAACGGTCGACAATGAATTCCGTAAAAAGCTATCAAAGCAGTTTAATCAAATATAGTGTGCCTTTTTAGTTCTTTTAGAAATGTTTATAAGTTCAATCCTGTCGTTTCAGTGAACAATCTCGAAAACGGAAAGAGCCTTCGAGCTTCAAGCAATAAAGGAAGCTACACGCAGGGTGAATTACAAGTGATTTGGCCCGACAACCAACCCTCGTAGTAATCTCCATTTTAATCTATAAACACTACTAAGATAAACTTTCATAAAGCTTGGTTTGTTTTTAGCTTTTGCTATAAATACAGGATATGAGTCGCATACGGTTCAGAAGAATGCGGAAGAATTTACCTGTTGGTGAGAGAATCAGAAAAGTGCACGAAGCCTTACCAAAAACACATCAAAATTCGCTGGAGAGACGCCAAAATAAGTTTTAACCCTTTAACTCCCAGGAGTGACCAAGAGAAAATTAATCCTTACAATATCAATACAATATCAACCAGATAAGTGATGAAAACAAAGAAAAATATCAATTTGGGGATAATGAGTCGATCCAATACTAAATTATTTGAACTAACATTGTAATAATTGTATGGTTGACGGTAAGGAGAGAAAGAACTTTTAAGAACTTTTCTCTGTCTCCATTTAAATCAAGCTCCTGCTGCTTAACCCTTTAACTCCTATGAGTGACCAAGACAGAATCTCTCCTTACAATATCAACACAAAATCAAGCAGACGAGTAAGGAGAAAATAGAAGAAGGGAGACTACAAGTTGATCCAATGCCAAATTCTCCAAATTGAAATGATTAGTAGTTTATGGCAGACAGTAGGGAGAATTCCTTAGACATCTTGGGAGTTAAGGGAGTTAACAATCACAGGTAGACAGGATGCTTTATGAAGAAAGACACTTCTCAGAATTTCATTGTTGACGTGTCACGCCATGAAGGCCCAACAGAGCGGGCTTCCCTGCGATCAAAACTTTTCTAAGAATCACATCTGACAATATCAAGTGATCTTAAAAATTATGCTTGTCTTTTGATAGACAAAATACCCAAATTTGTGCATACTATAAAATCGATATGTTGTCCCCTTTGAATTATGGGGACAGTACGGTTGTCAGAAATTAAATATTGACCAAACTTCCGCGGAAAACTTCATGCAAACCTCTTGAGACTCTTCGATTCCTTGTTTCTGCCGACATTCCGAGCGATTCTTGGATCTCGGCTCTTAATTCAGTTGGTTCAAAATTCTACGGTTTCAAGGACCTGCTAAGACATAGCGATTTCACTGTACCCTGAAGTACGGTTATTTCGTAAAGTAGAACATCGACACGATTCCTCAGTTGAACTGATTAAATTTCTTAACAGACATCTGATACTCTTAAGATGTTTACAGGGCATTCCCGGAAACCCAAGAAAATGCACTGTCATGGTCGTGGATTTTTATTACAATAGCGCATGGATGATGCAATTCTATGAAAAAGCTTACTCGACATATGTATAGTGGCTGTCATTTACGTTTGCACCAAGTTTCCTTCGGCAGTTTTTGCATGGTGACATTGCTTCAAGGTAAGTTTTAATGCTGGCAGCATGTACGAGGAGATGATAACGATAGTAAGTAAAATAGAATCTATAAAGCTTTGAAATTGAAGAGTGAAATCGGAAAGTGATGCTCCGAATATGTTGAGGTTCGAAGCGCTGCCGCTGAAAACTTACCACACAATTGTTAGAAATATTTGAAATGACTCATCGTTCGCTACTGAGTTAGAAGATATTTCTGAAGGCATCCACGGTCATTGATTTTCAAGAGCTTCCTGCTTTTCTCGGAAATATCGTATATGATACGAGCAACAAATAAAACGACTGCGAACGAGACTAAAGTAACCCAGCTCAAAGGCATTGAGCGAAGCAGAACCAAGGAAAACGTCGAGGAGAAAATTGTTAAATACTTTCTGAAGAATTTGACGAGTGGCCGAATGGGTTTCACGTCTCTAGCGGCGCCAAACCCGACAATTTTAGCTGATGTTGTCAACAGGATTAATTCCCGACGTTTCCTCGAGTTTGTCCCTCAATGAGCGCAGACTCTTTTCCCGAACAGCGGCTGGTAATCGAAGGATAAGAAATGTACAAAGCTAGATTTTTTTATTATTAAATCTTTTGTTTCACCACGCTGTCAGTTAAGTCCCCTGTATAACTTAATGACCTCATTTCAATCAGAAACGGTTTTAAATTTGAAATTGTTTGATGCATGCTCGGGATTTGAGTCACAAATTTTCACTTGTTAGCAAGGGTATTCACACCAAAACGTAGTGATGAGATTGGAGGACGTATTTCTCGAGAAGAAAAAACCTCAACAATCGATGGAAACAGATTTCTGGATTCAAAATTTTTTGAAAAAAAAAAGAAAAAAGAAAAAAACAAGCAAAGAACGGTTACCCGTCGATATGAACTTGATCGCATCGAAAAGAGGATTTGGTGGCCAAGCATAATGCGTTAACATGATGGTGCTATTTCGCGACATAGTGGATCACCACGGAAATTTGATGATCGTCTGGTAAATGAAAAGCATTAACATCGGTGTGCTGGGTTGGAAAAAGGGAACTGTTGATTATGGAAAAGAGTAATTGACACGAGTTGTAAATCAGAGAAGGTGCCAATAAAATTGTTCACCATTTGAGTAGAGAGTGAGTTGAAAAAATATGTTTTAAGAAAAATCAAGACAATTTAAACTAGTCGTTTACAGGTCATGATTGCTCAGCGATAAACGAGTCGCATTAAAGTTTTCATAACTTACAAAAATATTACACCTGAATTGATTGTTCTATTAATTAATTATTAATCATTTGATTTTGTATTTTCTCATTTCCTTGATTTTTATTTTTAATAGTGGCTGGTAGTATAAACTTCACAGGGGACATACCAGACCGTACAATAAAGGCCAAACTAGATGACGATGTCGCTCTGGGCTGGAGCTTCTCATTCAACGATTTGGGAGGCAATCCAGTTGGCCCATTTGGTGCTCCAGACGTTTACGAAATCAGCTTTGGCATTTATAAATCTATACATGGCGAAACTTTCTTGAGCGAGAAACTTGTTGTTGTCGATAGTAGTGGAAAGTTCAGTGTTCAAGCTGGATTTGATAGAAAAATGGATTGGAGCCACTCAAAATACAAATTAACATTCATTCTGAAAAACATTGCTATCCAAGATCAGGCAATGTACGGAGTGAATGTTGAGCTTGGCTTGAGTCAGCTGCCGCTCGAGGATTCTGTGATTGTTATCATACCAGGACTCTCGTACGTGGTTCAAAATGGCAGCTCGATTGTCCGTAAAGGTAAGGCAAATTAATGCAGTGATATCCTTAACCCTATAAAACTAATGAAATGTAGACCTCAAAATTATGATATTCTACTTTTGTTTTAGAGTCAGCCTACATGATGGAACCTTTTGAACTATCGTTTACAAGATCGGAACACGACCGAACTGCTGACCGTATCAAGTACACACTCAAAAAAGATAACACAAGCATTTTCATTATTGGAAAGAACAGAGAAGATAACAAATTCAGTTGCTTTCATTATGTTACTCCAAAACCTACACCTTGTTCTGCTGATTCCTTCTCAGTGAACGAAACTTACGTTTCTTTCAAACTAAGAAATGTTACCTTTCAAGATGCTGGTCGATACCTCTGTATAAAGTATTCATCGGGGCTCTACAATACAACGTTCGAGGAAATCGACCTTAGTGTACAAGGTAACGTAAGCAAGTATGTTTGAATGATTTACTGACATTACAGCCAGTCCATCTTTAACCAAAGCTGAATTTAAGAAAGACTATGAATTTTATTTCATTTGGTCTTTTGAAATTTGTTGATTACTTGCTCAAACTAATCCGTGATAGGTTTAGCTGCTCCAGGTGCAACCCTTTGAGTTTGCTGGTAGGGCCTGAAAAAAGATAAAAATGAAAAAACATTTCTCACCCGTACGCTGTTTTAAAATCTGTATATCTTAGAAAATTTCCAGTGTGCTGATTTCAACTTGTCATTAATCTTTGCCATCTGCTTTTATGTCTTCTATTAGAGAGACCAACCGTAGAAATAATTGACGATGAAACATCAGCTCCCAGGGCAAAAAGCAGTTATTCCAGTAAGTATCGATTGTAAGCCCTACCAGTAAAAGAGTCCAGAAAATGAGTCGATAGGTAATAAGAGTAAGAAAAGATAGAGTCATAATATAAAGTATGCACAGAAGGGCGCGGTTAAATGTAGAGTGGTGTTGTAAAGCGGTAAATGCATTGTCGTCGAGAAGGCCCTTATTATCAACTCTTCGGCACGAGCTTGTGGGAAATTATGAGACTTTGAGCTACGCAAAACGGCGATCCAGACTCCCAGCAAACCATTCCCCGACTCGTCTCCAATCTTTACGCGGGCAGAGAAACGCGCGTCCCGCAGCGCTAATAACGAGGGCCTACTCGCAGGCTGGTGAGTTCAAGGACTTCGGAGGAAGTATGGGCCTGAAGTTGCATGGAGTGGTTGGATTAAATTTGAAAATGATTGTAACGATGTGGAGTGGAATGTGCGTAGTGCAGCATGAGCCTTGTGTCATACGTTGAGGGACTTAACGTGGCTTATGGTGTACTCTAGGTGGTGTTCAAGAGGAGCAAAGTACTCGGAGAGTCGTCAGCTACAGTGACTTACGTAGGATTGACTTGTTGTAGTCTGTACTAGTGCATTGTACAATATAGCTAGCTTGTTTTAGGTGAGAAAGGGTTTTATTTGGTGTGGAATGGCATGAATTAATCTGGATGGGGATGAAGTGTAAACTGTGTGTGAGTGATGAAGAGTGCTGTAGAGTAACACCAGATTGTGAGTAATGGAATTAAGTTGTCGAATGTGTTAGATTGCTGTGGGAAAAGAGTCCGATGGCAATGTTAGGCTTTGAGTGCACAGAAGTAGTGCCGAGTTGCTCAGAGGATCGTCCGTAGGTACGTGGTACTGGCGTAGAATAATGTGGCGAGAGTAGTTCTGTATAGGATGAAGTCGTAATTAAGGAATTACAAGAGCGGGTTGCAGTATGCTCAGGTGTGTAAAGGCAGGAAAGGACTGAAACAGCCAGAAAAATGCACAGCAAGAGAATATCAGTTCAGGCCTTATTTTACAAGTTAGCGCTTAGCCATCATGTAGGTGCTGAATTTCAAATAAAGTGAAGTGCGATGGAGAAGCGAGACAAAATGTAGAATATCTAGGACTGAGAATAATTTGCTTCACTGTAATTTATACTGTTGTGATTGTATTGCTGCTGAATTAAAAAAAAAAGAAAAAAAGAAAGAAAAACGCTAACATTTTGAAATAGTGTGAGGTGAAATTTTAGGCTATACAAATTAGGAAATACAAAAAAATTTTTTGTGTGTTAGTTTTGATTCCCTCAATTAATTAAAGTCACTTATACATTTCATTCTTTTTCAGGTACTCGGCCTATATGTCAAGTATTGGCAGCAATATTGATCTTACAAGCACTGCTCGTCTAGAAGACACACCCTTCACCAAGGACGGGGGAAGCAGTGAACATCAGCTTTACAAAATGATTTAAAAAAAACAGTTTTATAAAGACATGTTATGACCCCCCATCCCCTCCCCCCCTCCTAACCCCCGCTTCGTGCTTTGGGTTTGAAAATATGAAGCTTGTCTGGCTTGAATGGGGAATTTGAACCAGAAGTGTCGGGTCTTTCTACCGGAATACACGTGTCACCTCTTTAGATATGGAGTTGTTTAAGCTGATTAGTTCCCTCTCGCGAGCGATCGGCCAGAAGAAAATGTTTACAAAGTCCAGGTTTTAAAGTTTGGTTAATGTGTAGAAAGTTACTGTCGTTGACTTTGCCCTTTACGAAAAAATTGTATGTGGCATTTGAATAAAGCAATCTCCAGAACTTCAATGGTCCGTGGGTTTGGCGGGGGATGTTGAAGCGTCGCATTATTATGGCTTACCGGTGGTTTCGCTCGAGTAGCTTCAGCCAAGGATTCTAACACAAACTCATCTTGTGAAAATGCAGAAGAAATTATCATCTGTCGTGGCAAAGAAAAGCGTTGACTAACTCTTTAGAGAAAGGGACAGAAAATATGCAGGACGTCTTTCACAAAAAAAAGAAACAAAACAAAACAAAAAGATCACAAGATAGACCATTGCGCAAAAGATACATTCCGGAAAATGTTCATGTAGCTCGGGTGAAGAGTCCACATGGATCCTCCATCTTCCTTGTCCATGATGTCACTTTGGAAAAAAAACTCTAAATTAGAAATTAATGATTGATAATGGATGCCCTCGATAATATGTCTAAACTCAGTCACGTAAAAGTACTTGGCCTTTTCACGCATCACGAATAATATCCAAAATCCTTTCACGTTCACTTGAAATTCAAGACGATCACGTTTCAAATTCAAAATAAAAGCCAGATCACCAATTCAAATTTTCACTCTTTCTAACCTGTTTTTAAAGTTCCAAATCCTCCGAGTCTGGCTCTTCTTTAATCACGATTCACGAATTAAAAAAATTTAAAACACGATTCACGTGAAAAAAAGTCTCCCAATCACTCTTACGTTAAAATTTTCGACTGGTTTGCCTTACGTGACGTAAGGTCAAAGTCCCGTATACTTTTTACTACTCCAGTTTCAGGGGACTGTCACTTTGACATTACATCACGCAACAGAATTTGTAAGCCCAAGCAGTCAATCATTATTAACACAGACGTTTTATATGTCATCTGATCATCTAAAGTACGCTTAACAGAAGATAAAGGGACCCATCCCGCTTTTTTCCCGGAGGTTTAGGAGCTGTTGTACACAGGCTCAACCACAGGCGGCCCAAGCTCCAGCTGTGAGATGATCATCTTGCGCAATAACAGTAATAGCGAAATTATGAGAGTTTGTATGGGAATATTTACGATCGCTCTAAGGAATAAAAAAATGCATCAAATTCTTATTAAAAATACCTCACCTTATTTCCATAGCGTATCAATTGTTATCTGACAGCTTACTTTTATGAAAAGAACCCATTTTAGCTAATTGTCCATTTCGAGGTTTTTAACTCACATAAGAAAAGCCCAAGGCTGAACACTCCATTTCCGAACGCCCGATCCCAGAAGCGAAAAATCCCAGCGAAAAATGACCGGGCGGCTACAAATCCAACGCAGAATCCAAGCACATAAACTTTAGATTCATTTCAATTCAATACAAACTCAGTCTTCCCTATACAACCGAAGCTAAGCCGCAGTTTGCTTCCAAAATTCCAGTTTATATGTTTCTAACAGCCCGTGTACACATCAACCTTACACACGACCGTTGAAAACCAAGTTGGTAACCCTGCCTCCTTTTTGAACTGAGCCTCGCCGGGGACCACACCGTAACTTGGCACCCGTGGTGCTAAGATAATTTCTTCATGCCAAGTTACAGTGTGGTCCCTAGCGAGGCTCAGTTAAAAAAGGAGGCTGCCTGTGGCACATCACGCATTTATGTTATGCTAAGGCGAGTCAATAAAGAAGGAAGACATGCTAGCGGCCATATTGATTATTTATTCCCTAGAGCAGAACCGAGCGCGAGTTCATCCGGGAACTTCAGAATACATGACATAATCATATCGCGAGTAGCGCAACGGTAACGTGACATCCCCCCTCTCCGAATCAAAAGAAAATACAAAAAAGGAATGCCTCTGAAATTTGACACAGATGCAAACCAGTGTCTCAGAGATATGAAAATGGGAAACAATTATAATAAAAATGTTCCTCCTGTGAGGCAGTATAAGCATTGTTTATGTGCGATACAATCCAGCTACTATGTTTTCTAGTAAAGGCTAAAGTCTTCAAACTTCTCTGGCTTGCGAATCAGCCCTCCTGATCTGGTAGTTTGCTGCAATCGTGGGGTTGGCTGGTCAGTACCAGGAGAGCTCTCACTTGTTGGCCGCTCTTGGTGCTGTGGTAGGGGCTCTGTGAGGGGCAGAGGGGTGTGGCATTCAGCTTGAGGCGAAGCTGCTGCTGGTGGTTGATCTGGCTTAGGTAGAGTGGTGGTAGTAGAATGGGCCGGTGTTTCTGTTAGGAAAGGTTGAGGGTTCCTGTGTCTATGTTGCATGTACGTGGCGATGGATTGTCGATGACCTTACCATAGAGCCAAGGAGCCCCCCGTTGAGATGGGTGAGGCTTTGCATAAGTATATGAGCCTAACGGTAGTGGTAACAAAGGAGGTTGTGTATACTTGTCATATTAAGCTTTAGAGGCTCGTCTGCGGAGAGTAGTTTAGGAGCTGATTGTCAAAGGGTCCGCAGGGTCGGGCTTGAGTAGGTCTTTTGAAAGTGGCAGTATAGAGTGTCTGCCCATTAACCTCTGGGCTGGTGAGAAGGAGTAGCCACCAGGAGGCGTATTTCGAATGTTGAATAAAGCCAATTAGACGTCGTGGGACTTCTTAAGAGTAGATTTGGCATCGTTTACAGCTGCTTCGGCTTTGCCGTTACTGCGGGAGGGTGACGAGGTGATTACTTACTGAGATAGTTGATGGCTCCTAGGAATCTGCGGAATCCTTGTTTGTCGGTTGGAGTGGGCATAGCAACTATAGCTTGAACAGTGATCGGGTTGGGCTGAAGACCGTCTGTAGTGATAATATGATTCATGAAGGTTGCCTTGCGGACAAGAAATTTCATTTTGTTAACGTTCAGCTTAATGTGATGCTGCTCGAACCGCACAAGTACAGCAATGAGGTTTCGGTCGTAGTCAATTCTGGCTTCAGTATCAGTAGCGCTGCAACCTGGGATTAGGATATCGTCGGCAATACTAATGACTTGAAGACCTTCAAGAACTATTTGAATTAGACGCTGCCATTCCTCTGAGGCTGAAGATATGCCAAATGGTATTCCAGTTCATCTGTAGCGGCCCCATGTGTAAACATGGTGGTCATCAGAGATTATCTTAATGTTAAAGGGATGTTTTGGAAAGCTTCTTTGACTTCTATCACTGTCATGTATTTCACCCCCTGTAGCTTGTGGAGATTCTCTTCTAAGACTGGGATGATGTATTTTGGACGTCGTATGGCTTTATTGAGGGTCTGCGAGGAATCTAAACAGAACTCTTCAAGTCTAGTAGAACGAAATGGCCTTTGGCCGCCGGTGGCGAGAGGAGAAGGGATGATGCCAATGCAATGGTGTCAGCATTAGAGGTTTGTTTATCTGAGAGGGTGAAGCAGCTCTCATATTATAGACCTTCCTCGGGGGGAGTGTAGAAACTTTCCTCTTGCTCAACCATTCTAATGTTTTCACGCTTGGGTTCCAGTGGAGTAGGCTTTTGGGAGGTAGGTTTCGAGAAACGGTGGTCTTTGGCAGCCTGTTGGCAGACGTTTGCAAAAAAAACAAATGCTCCAACGACTCCCGGCATCTTTTGTTGCTTCACATAGGAAAAACACACGATACGAAACGTAATGATCGATTTTGTCCTCAATCTCACGCCATAACAGAAAAGCTTTTGAACATCTGTAAACTCCGTGCGCTTCGCAGTAAGTGATATTTTCAATGAATCTTCGGACTGTTTTCAAGTTCAAGGATTGTGAATTACAATTTTATGAAAAACGAAGGTTTTTCTGTTATTTCAGTGTGAATCCTAGCATGCCTGCCAGTCGCTGGCGCCGCTTGTTGAAACTAAAACGAAAAAAAAACACTCTTTTAAGATTATCATTGGCTTCTTTTTCACCCCACCACTATTCTTAGCAACAAAGGTCGCCATTTCGTTTGTTTATTGCTCGCCAAAAAACTATCAAATGCACTCAAAAGCCTAAAATCGAAAAAAAGTTTACAGGAATCGACCAGTCGAGCGAGCGAGCGAATGCTCTTCCCCACATCGTATCTAGAACTCGCTGTTGCGCATGCGCGCAATTCACGAGTTAAAAAGGAAAAAAACAAAACCAACAAAAAAAATGTCTTACCAGTCAGACCAGTGGCAGCAGCTCTCGCACTGAATCATGTCGAAGTACTTTGACGGTTGGCAGTGATGGCAGAACCAATCTTCGAACAGTTTTCGACTATAACAAGAGAGAGTAAAATGATTATATAAAACTTGTTTTAAAATTAATGAAGGCCGTTCAATAAATGACACTGTATTGGAACGAGTATATCTCGTTTCCTATTGTATCACACTACTGTTTTAGACAAGTTATTTCTACCACTTAAATTTAAGAAACAATGAGTAGAGCATAAACCACGCATCCTAACCTCATTTGCCAACTGCTTTCCGGGCCTCATCTTTGAAAAACCTCTTCAATTTTTTACATTTGAAAATTTTAAGCTAAAACAGCAGCTCCCAAAATATATCTCTCACCTTGCCTAAAAAATTTTTTAAATAAATTTTCAAATTTTCACAACTTTGCCTATTCCTGCTCGTAGGTCCAGCCAAGCTCTTATAGTCATTGGCCTCCGCAATAGCCGTTAACAATGGCTTATAAATATAGGCGTTTAGTGTCAACTTGTAAAACTCCCTGAAGAAGTTTACGACAGTTAGACAAACCGCGTCAGAGAATAAAGAAGTATTACAACTACTGTTCGCACAGCGCTGCTCACTAGTTTAGTTTTAATTTTTATTACATATTGTTTAAAAAATTATTTAAAAATTATTTTAAAAAAATTTAATAAACGCTTGAGTCAGAGCTATTCCTGTCAGCGGTGAAATACAGGAATGGCTCCAGTGTCTGGTCGTTCGCCTGAACTGACTAAATGAGTTTAGTCACTGGAACTAGTCAGCAAATGACTTTTCCATCGCCGGAATATCGCTGAACGACCTCGCTGAACAAGAAAGGCTGCCTTCCCTTCGCTACGTAAGTAACCATTTCTTGTTTGACACATCGGTGTTTTCACTCGCATTGATATTCCATTGTTCCGCTTCGAGACACGTGGTTAACAATACTCATG